TCCGGAGCCCTTCGCCTCGGTGGCTTCGCATGAAACATCTTGCACACCTCCTGTCTACTCGCTGGTGGGGTGGGGTTAGGAGCAGAACAGGCCTTAACTCTGTGTAAGCACTGCTCAGTAGGAACTAAAACATCAGCGTGTTATCCACAGTTTTCAGCACAAATCCAAAACATAACCCCATACAAGCTACTGTGAAGAAATTTAACTCTATCCCAGCCAAAATCAGTACATCTACTTGCTTAGTAACCTTATTCTGTACTAGCACGCGCAGTTCAGCATTTCAGACTGAGTAGGATTCAGATAGTAGGCAGAGAAACAACTATATCCCCTGTGGTGCTTAATTTGGTGAGAGTGTCTTGAACTCAACCTATGCATGTGTAACACCTAGCTTTTCCTCAAATATAATTTTGACTGTTTTCTTTTAAAATATTCAAAGTTTTAAGTGACAGTGGAGCCCACCCTTAATATTATGATCAGTGGTTGCAGCAATTACCGTGGAAGACAGAGACTCAGACAAACAGTTTGGAATTGTACTTACTTTTTGCTCCCAGATAAGCTCTAAACATTATGCTATGGAGTTGAGATCTGACCTTTCCCACAGTTGTTTATGTAAATTATAGTCTTTATGAAGTATGCCGAAGTAAATCAAATTACAAGTTTCCTGATAAACACTGAATTTGTGCCTATATGTTTTATTTTAAGTTATTCCTACACTAAATTCTTCAGTCTGTTTCTGTGTTGGAGAATTATTTTTATTTTAATTATTCAGCAACTGTTTAAGGAACTTATCAGTTTTTGACTTAATCGTGTATTTCCATTTCACTTATTGCAGCTTGGTTGAATATATCTTTATGCCTTAATTTAGCTAGTTTACATACAACTAGTAGAGTAGCTACAGTATCATGCAATTACAAGTCAAAAGCTTTGGTTAAAAATTGACATAATTAGCTTGACAAAGCAGCATTAGTGTATGAAGGAATTGGAGGTGGTTATGACATGACCTGTCTCAGCACTTGGTTAACATGTAAAGGGACATTCTTGAAAAAGTTTCTAGAGAGCTCTGTGATAGCATAATATTGTAGTTTGTCTTCCTACTTGTCTTTCCAGACCCTTCACTAGTTTACAAGGTAGTGAAAGCTGAAATATCTGTAGATCAATTATTGTTTTAAAGGCACTGCTTTCTTTCTTTTTTCTATCTTCTCACCTTTTGTTTTCATTAGCAAGGAAATGACATTGCCCTTTAAGTTCATTTAGGTTTACAGTATGGGAATGAAAATACAGCTATCAGTATGTAAGAATCCATAAATTTGATACAAAACAAAGACAAAAAGCAATGCTTTACGGACCAAATCAATCAAAATAAAATCTCATAACGCTACTCACTGAGGTTTGTCCTATGTTTACAAATTCTGAGACTTTAGAATTGTCACTTGAAATGTCCAGTAAATAAATGTTATTAAATCCACTTTTATAGAGCACGCACTTACAACATGTCTTGTAATAACATCTTTGGTGGTGGGAAAGAAGGAAATATGTGTTACAACCGTATGGTATACGAAGTCCAAGATGAAAGTTTAATAAAAGGTTGCCTCAAGGTTGTGGTTCAGACTTTAGCTGATATTTAGTGTAAGGCTCCTAACTACATACAAACTTAACTCATCTCACCTACAATACACTTAAGCTTTTAAACCAAAAGGGCAGGCACCATGTCAGAATTTATAAAGAAGATGATTATGCTCCTCAGTATTCATTATAGTATTCATCAGGTCTATACTCAAACCAGCACCGAGACTTGGAGCTTTGACTATAGCTTGAGAGCACTTCATTCTTTATCTGTAATAATAATAATTAAATATCTTTACTTTGATGAAATATTTTCAGTCTCCTTCAAGATTTTTATTTAACTCTATAAAGCAGAATCTGAATCCTAGCTCTTTTGGAAAGCACTTTGGGGGCAGTAGTCTTTATGAAGTTAAAAGCTGGAGGTTCCTCCTGTGCAATCTGTGGTTCTGTCACACTCAGAGCTACAGCATGCGCAGCAAGTAGGTCTGTAAGGGAATTTTCCCCTAAAATTTTCGTCAAGGGAAATCAGCAAGCCCCGGGGTTCTTTCAATGTAAAAAATTAAAATCAAAACTCCTGGTTTTGCACTTTTTTCCCCACCAAAAGAAGCAACAAGAAACCTGTGACAGTAAATTAATAACCTTCCCAGATTCCTGCATTTAAAAGAGTGAAAAGCCACTACCATTTTCCACACACCTGCTGTCCCAATGGC